TAGCCCAATAATTGACAGTGAGTCTTGTTGTCTAGTAGGTTTCATTTAGTCTACAAGTTCAAAATTAATGACTGCTAACGCATATAGCTTTTATGTAGTTTTGCGTGATTATCCGAAACAAAAAAACAATTTTTCCTAACATAAAATGACAGACATGTTGTCCTCAGCTAACTTTTTCGAATTCTTAAGCGTTATCGATTACGTCATCCCGAGGACTACTAGCTCCATACTGCCCTGCTGTTAAAACTTCACATCCAATTTCCTAGCTCTCTAAGATCGATACCATCCTTTCATCGTATCGTATGTTGCTTAAAAATGTTCCTCTCAAAGTTTAACTCTATTAGCTACAAAAACATCAGTTTTAGTAACATAAAAACTGCAAGGAGTGCAAAGAGCATCAATATATATATATATGCATACACGTGTTATTGTGTTGCATTTTACTTAAAGTACTATGTTCATTATGAGAACTATCCTCGATGAATGAAGGATATGTATAGGTAAGCATACTAAAAGGTATGTCGATGTATACGTAGAAATATAGTCTTAGCGATAGGAAACAATGAAAAGAACATATAAGCATGTAAGATTTACAAACATATTTACAGCTAAATAGAAACATGATTGTATTAATATAACTACTAACATAATTTGATAACCATACAGATAAATAGATCCACGTGTGTGCGAACGAAATATGTTTTCGACAGATATTTAGGAAATCTAAATTATTCAGGGATTTCAAAAGGTGTACATTTATAGGCATCCTTTGAGTTAAGAAAACTGTTAAACAGCTTTGTAAAACGATTAGAGACGCCTTGTTTCAATAGTAAAACTAAATAGTGCAATTAAAATTAAACTATAGTTGCCAAGAGAACATTTTCATGCTAAATCTAATAGATGATTACGTTCAAATAACGGATATACTCAAATAAATGAAGATATCTGGAATACTTTAATGACGTGGGGGTGATGAGAAAAATAATGGATTTAATAACGATGCTAAAACTATTATTAACAAATCCAATAGAAATAAATAACTATTCATTGGACACAGATACACCAAGCAAATAATTAACTATTCCCTAAGTGTCTTGCAATGAGGAAGTGATATGCTTAAATTGTCTTTAATCTGCTAATATTTCTCACTTTGAACGAATATGGATGGGAAAAAGTGACTATATATATATCTGTTTCATTTATAATTGTCGCTCTGTAACAAACAGGAATTGGTTTCAGTTGTTTTCGCAATATCCTGTAGTATAGTATCTACTATAACAACCGTATAGTATCTACTGTAACAACCGTATAGTATCTATTGTTACAACTGTATAGTATCTATTGTTACAACTGTATAGTATTTACTGTAACAACAGCTTAATATCTACTGTAACAACAGCTTAATATCTACTGTAACAACCGTATAGTATCTACTGTAACAACCGTATAGTATCTACTGTAACAACTGTATAGTATCTACTGTAACAACCGTATAGTATCTACTCTAACAATTGTATAGTATCTACTGTAACAACAGCTTAATATCTACTGT